ACATGTTTCATTTCCCTTCATTTAGTAAACAGATTTCTAATAATAAAGAGCATTATGGAATTAGAAATGTATATTTGAATAAAGTTTTATGAAAATATCAAAATATATACAACTAATTGTAATTTTAAATTTCAGTATCTACTAGAAAACTGCCCATAAAATAATTACAGAATACTTATTACAAATGAAGGAGACTTTTACTTGTAGATGTGAAACTTTCTAATTTAATACCCAAATGGGGTAGGATATTTTTGGTGAAAAATAAAACATCCAATAAATGAAATCAAGTAATATTATATGTTGTAATAGTTTAACTTGAAGCTGAAGAAAAGTAAATTGATTAAGTGTTTTAAAGGATTTAGTGCTAGATGTCAAGTTATTCTGGTTCTTTGGGTTATCTCAAGGAACCCATACTAGAAACAGAAATATTAAAAATATATCAATGGTTAACCCAATGCCAATGGGTATGACGTGTACGTATGTGCTATGCCCACTGTGAGTACTTGTTTGATTGTTTTTACGCATAGATGGCAACACTTGTACTAACTCCCCAATGAGCCAGTTACGAGTACCGCCCGTCTCACCTGTTTACCCGTTTCTTTGATTTATGAAATATTTTACGTTATCTTATTTTGCTGTTACTAATGTTTAAAAACATTCTAAAGATTATGATGTTTATGCTAAAAATAACACCATCGATTTTCATAGCACTAGTGAAAAATACGTTTTTCCCGCCATTTCAAATCGGCAGACATTTCATGAAAAACATAGAAAGTGGGCACAGCATTTTCACCATTTTTTGTTCATTTTCCCCGGAGGCATTGGGTTAATGGTGAATGGGTAAAACAAATACATGTTCTAGACATCAAGGTCATATAGCACTGAGTTAAAGCATAGTGGCAAAAAGGGTTAGGAATGAGTTAATGATTAGAGTAATGGCTGTGAAAAGGGGTAGAGAGGGGGAGCTGATGGGGTATAGTATAAGATAAAGGGTTAAAAGGGGAAGGAGTTATGGGAGTAGGGCAGTTAGATCAACTGGAGGATTTTATGCATCTCAGGAAAGAGAATAAGTTGTCTAAGGAAAATTCAGAGAGGAAGCCCAATAGATTATGGGGTCAAGGAAGTGTGAGGAAAAGCAGAGGTACAGATTGCTATAAAGTAGGGACAGGATAGTAGGATGTGTAGGACTGAAAGAAGAACATTGCATGAGTAGAGGGATCAGATTGTGACATGAGATACGAATATGTAAAGCGTGTGTATCCAATGTGTAATCGGGTAAGAGCAATTTCCCAGCGTCTGTTCTTACAGAATGGGACCCACTGATTTTGGTGTATCAGAGAAAACAGAGGAGCATGTGTGGGAGGTAGGGTTAAACCAAGGCGGGTATTTATAAATAGAAAAAGATAGGGGTCAGAGGTGAGGGAAGAGTGAATGGGAGAGAAGTGCATTCATGCAGACAGAAAGGAGTAGGTAGGCATGGAGAGGAGGTAAAGATAGGAAGAAGGGACTAATGGAAAGTAAGTTTTGAAAGAGAAAATTGATGAAAACGTTCATAGCTCCAAAGAGAGAGAAGGGCATCGCATTGAAAGAGGGATGGTAGGCTTGATTCAGCATATAGGATCTCAACAGGAGAGGAGCGGAAGGTACCTAGGGTTTAACATACACTGCAGTGATGGATAGTATCAAGATGAGTAAGAATAAATAAGATGAGGCAGAAGAATAAATATGGCAGCCATAGTCAAGAGTGGAAAGTATCAAGATAGTATGAAGACAGGATTTCTGCAATCTGAACCCCCAGATATATGAGAGTGAGTCTGTAGGAATTGGAGGTAGTGGCGGGTTTTTTCCTTTGATATAGAGGATGTGGTCTCTCCAGGAGAATTTAGAGTAAAAGATGACATGAATTTGCCTGAGGAGTTGAAGTGGAGGAGAGTATAAAATAAAGAGAGTGGATGTTAAGGACCAACATGTAATCAAGAAAAATGGATGGAGAAGGATTTGGAGGTGGGAAAGTGAAAACCAAGGTCAGTGGCCTAAGAAGAGCTTAAAGATATTGCAGACTAGATTAGCTGACAGAGAGCAGGTATGGAAGGTCCCAAGTCATAGATAATAAAATCATCTACATACAGGGAGGATCAGATACCTGGTGGTAGTACCGAAATTAAGCTGTTTACAGCTAGAAGGAACAATGTGGTTCTGAGTGACTGCCTTGTGGGACACCTTCAAATTGAGGAAAAGATGAAGAGGTAAATTAAACTAGGAATGTATAATTGGAGAGGAAAGATTTAATGAATGCACACACCTATGTTCCCTCGTATGCCATGAGATGACAGCTGCTGAATAGTGTATCACCAAGTAGTATTGTAGAGACTAAAAGAGTGAGGGTATGATGCAGAATGATAATTTTAAATGGATGTCGGCAATCACTTTGAATGTAGCTGGAATGGGGGCAGAGAAATTGGAGGATGGATGAGACAGACTTTCTCTTGGGTCATGCTTAGGAAGTTTCAGATGTCCTCACGGGTTTCTGGGTTGGGAGATTTGGAAACAAAGGATTTTTAATGAGGAGGTGAAGAGGAGACAGGCATCTGAGAAGTAGATGATGTAGATATAGGAATTGGTATGGTACATGAAGACACGGTGGAACATTTATCTTGACTGGTATAATAGGTAGGGCGATGTAGGGAACAGATGTAGGGAAGTGGATACTAGAGTATCTGGATTTAGAATAGAAAAAGTGACAGGGATATAGGCAATGTAAAGGTGGGGAGTAGGAGGAAGAGGTACTAAGGAAGATGTAAAGACAACTTGGGTAGAGGGGAGAGGAGTGGAGCAAAGGATGGCATTGGAGTATGGAGTGAGAGAAAAGTCTCGTCATCTTGTTTCCTGTCTGGCCTCTCTCATAGAATGAGGCCAATTTGTATCTGAGAACTGCTACATCAGACATAAGCTTACAGACAGGGCAGCCCCTATAAAATGTATTGTTGAAACCACCGCAAGTGGCACATGTACGTGGTTGTGCAGGGCAGTTTGAAAGGTCATGACCTGGATACATAGTGGGCAGCGGGCTTGGGAGTGACAGTGCTTTGCAATGTGGCCAAAGTGACTTAATTTCTGACATTGACAGGTTTGGGATCAATATGGTCTGATAGGGCAAGATTCTCTGCCTATATATAAGTAAACTTCATGGGGAAGGTCATGTCTGTGGAAGGTAATCTTACCAATATTGGTGTGGGATTACAGTGACCTCTGACGGAAACAGAGTAGCACCTTAAAGAAAAGAAATGTGGATGTACAATTTATTTATGCATTTCTTTTCCACATGAAATCCATTATCCATTCATTGAGGAAATTAAATTTTAGTGGATATGATCTTACCCTGAGGGTCAAATGTTATGACTTGGTTCTTGTACTTTCCAAATTGTTTTTAGATTAGTTGCTGTAGCTTGCAGTAATCCTCCTAAAATGCTGCATTCATATGTCTGGTTGAACACAATTGGCAGTGTAAGACTAAAGGAACTTTAACCCATTGCCAACAGGCATGGCATGTACGTACATGAGTTTACTTGTTTATACACTTTTACTAAGTTACCAGTGAGCCAATTATGAGTACTGCCTGTCTTGCAAGTTCACCCTTTTCATTGATTTACATTTTTTTTTACATTATTTTATTTTGCTGTTACTAATGTTTATAAAATTATAATAATGTTTACAAGAAAAATCACTCCATTGATATTTATAGCACTAGTAAAAATTGTTTTTCCCATCAATTCAAGGAAAGGTGAAATCAGGTAAGGTCACAAGATCTACTAATTGATTCCTTTGTGGCTAAGCATTAGCAGAGCCATATATGTACAGGCATATTCCACAAAAATATAGAAAATGAGCACAGCATTTTCCTCATTTTTTAATAATTTTCCCCAGCAGCAATGGGTTAATATACTGTGTGGTTCTAGACAATACACTATATAGCTGTTTTTCCCTCTGCAGGTTCTTCCTAAATAACTATTCTTGTTACTTCATATATTGCATTCTAAACATCTGGGGTGTGATGACCAAACCAGTGGTTTTCATCTAGATCTACCTGGGTTACCAGAATTAGTGTAAACTTTAATTTTTACATGGTGAAAATGTTTAATTCAAAGAGAAACTTCCTCCAGGATATTTTTTAAACTGTATACCCTGAAGAAAAACGTGGAAATCATGGTGAAAATTATATTGCAATAAGTTTGAGAACTATGTAACAGCTTGCAGGACCTGACAAGAGTAAGTGGTGGCAAGTGTGTTGTCAGTTGTCTAGGTTAGGAAATTAAAGTTCAAGGCACTGGGAAAGTTTTGAGAGAATTTATGTACCAAAAAAATTCACGATGATAGAATATTGGTTTGGTACTCTAGAATTTCTTGAAGGGAGCTTAACATGTTCTCAATTAACCATTCATCAATTGAAAGAAAGAAAACAGAGTTTAAAGTGATGTCCATAATTTATACTTCCACTTCTGCAATGAAAGAGTAACCCTGGAGAGTGCACCCAGCCCATGCAGAAATCCCCCATTTAGCAGACCATATGGCTGCTGAAAAGGACCACACATATTGCGTTATGGGTGGGGATGTTGGCTGTTGGTAAACAGAAATCTGTGGCTAACATATGCAAGGTTATGGTGTATTATCATGATACTTTTTTTTTCCTCAAGCAAGGTAATGAATGACTACACGTATAATAACCTGAATAAGAACTCTGAGAAAAGCTTGTTAAAAAAAACAAAAACATTGCACATGAAAGTTTTTGTATGCTGCAGGGAATGTAAGGAAGCAGTAATTATAAGAAAATGAATGTTAACAACTGTTTACATTCCACTTAAAGATGGATTACCCTTCTTACCAAAATAATTTTTAACAAGGAGGACCCTCAAATTTATTTCTTATGCTGTATATTTCCAAGCTTCTTCAACCAACTGTTACATGTTGGGACTAATTTGGTGAAGGGAAGGCAAAATAAAAAGTGAGTCACCAAAACTTTATTTCCAACATATATATATATATTCTTTTCCCTGATACATAAAAGTGAACATGTACAAAAATGATCACAACTCTTTCCTCTCAGTAATCTTTCATATTATGAAACCCACAATATTGAGTTATATTAGGTCAACAATTTGCTATCAATTGCAGAGAAACATGATCATCTGATATATAAAAGATGATGTTAATATATCTCTAAACTGAAACAAATTCCATGTTAAAAAGTATCCTATATGCTTGAGTATATATCCAACACATATTTATTGACATTGACAAGTTAGTAGGGGCAAATAACTGGACATAAAATCAGTTCAAAATAATAATGTGAAAACATTTCATTTCCCAAATAATATCAAATAACCACAATGTAAGTTAATTCTCACCTATGTATTATAACTAATCAGGTAGTAACCTATTCATCTGGTACAAAAGTAAATATCATCAAGATTATATAGTCTTACACAATGAAGTACCAAATTTTGTGCTAATTATCTGAAAGACACTGCTGGAAACTTTTATTTGTACTGTAACAATCTGGGTGATATTTTATAGTTACATTGGTGAAAGATTAGCTACTGTTCCCTTTTAAAGTCTGGCAAGAACTTGTTTTTAGTGACCCAGCTTTTCCTGGGCATGGAGCTGAGGGATGAACATTTCTTCCTCCCTTTGACCTTCAGCCATGTGCTGCTCAATAGCTTCAACACTGAAAAAGCAAAGAGTATGAATATTAATAACATATTTAAAAAAGGCTTTCATAATAAAAGAAAAGGCGAAGCACAATTATATACTCTATAACATGCAAAGGAAATGATTAGTTATCTAAAAACTTTATCTTTTTTTGATCAAATGTCTGGAGCAAGGTTGGCCTCATGGATGCTAAAGAATATAAGATGCAGAAGAAAAGGAGAAAGGAGTTGAAGATGGAGGTGGAGGGAGTGGGAGATAAGGATGAGGGAGAGAGATTAGAGAGATTAGAGAGATTAGAGAGAGAGAGAGAGAGAGAGAGAGAGAGAGAGAGAGAGAGAGAGAGAGAGAGAGAGAGAGAGAGAGAGAGAGAGAGAGAGAGAGAGAGAGAGAGAGAGAGAGAGAGGGGGGGGGGGGGGGGATACACTATAAAGAATAATATAGACAAGTTTAATGAGTGGCAACTGCAACTACGACATTCCTAAAGTCCATATGACTCACTAGAATATCAAATGACATGCTATTTACTAAATTATTAAAGAAACCAATGCAGCAGCCGCTTTAAAATCATCATAACTTACGTCCTTGGTATGCTTCCTCCAGTCAAGTCTTCCATGCCATTGGCTGTGACAACAATGTCATCCTCAATTCTCACTCCACCAAATCCGCGGAAGCGGGCAATGGCCTCAGGAACCAAGAAACGAGCTTGCTCTGGGTTGGCAAGAGCCTGGTCCAGGAGCTATGATGAAAAAAATGATCACATCAATATTCACTAGCTTTTTTTTTTTTTTTTTTTAATAACTAGTGCACTGTCAACCCTTATTTCAAAGGCTGCCAATGACACAATAAAGGGGCAGTGCAAACAAAATTGCATTAATACACATCATGATGAATAACTCAGGGTCCCTCTTCATCTACATGGACCTGAACTCCCATTCTCTGCACACCACAGGTCTGAGTAGTACCACTGAGCAAGCCAGATGCTAAAAAAAACTTTCTGCTGTGGTTATGCATCATATACTGGTGTGCTAAAAGTAAAAAATGCAGTGAAGCACAAAGGATGCCTCACAAACCTGATGTTCTTGTGAGAAAAAAGGATAGAGTGATGCCTACAATTTTTCTACTTTAAATGTAGTTACTAAATGCACTTTTGCACACATTTTCTACTACTTTTACAGCTATCATTTCTTTATTTTTTTTTTATCGCTTGTAATCACAACTTTCAATTTCTCATTCATGATGCCTGTCAATTATATCTGAACTTGTATAGTGATGCTTGATCAAATATGCTAATTTGAGCAGCGCCAGCTAAGGTAAATGGATGTCTGATTAAGCAATAAATTTGATAAAGAAATTTTATGAGTGGCAAAGTGGACTGATAGTGAATACATGAATGAACAAAACTGTCTTCTTTTCTCAAAAATAGGATTCACTTGTTAGTGTATCTCACAACTATACAAACTATGTTCTAAACGTAACACGCTGTAAATAAATCAAGCTTCACTTGAATTTCTTGGAATTTACAAAATATTCATAAACTTCTTCAAGTGAATATCTTTCCTCTTACTACTAGCCTAATTTAGCAGAGCATAGGGTGGAAAACTGTTAGTGGACCAGCCATAGACAAATCTATCATGAGTGATTTACACCTACACATACATATGTATATGCAACTAACTATAATTAGATTTAAATACTGAAACCAATGTATATATAAACAAAAAATAAATGAATAAAGTAGACATACATAAAGAAATATTTTCTACTGTCTAATTATTCTTATGCCTTGTCCACTGTGGATTTGTTTAATAAAACATAGCACCAATAACGATAATGACAACATTAGCAAAAAATTGTCTTCCCAAAACATTCAAGGAATGGTATTAACAGCTAAGATCAGGTAGGCCTAGCAAATGATTCACTGGTAACTTAAGCACTTGTGAAGCTATTTTCGTGTAAACAAAATTAATGAAACAAAACCACAGTGGACAATGTAAGTAACCAGCACCAATGAGTTGAATCTGCAATTACACATTACCATCAATAATACTTTTTACAATCATAGTTAACTCACATGGTCAATGAAGTAGCACCCAGGTTCAATGGTAAGAACCATGTTTTCCTCTAGAATCCTGGCTGTTCGCAAGGAGCGGAAGCCTGGTTCTTGAGGACGATTTGGGTTACCCTCAAGGTAGCCACCAACATCATGGACATCCAGACCCAATAAATGTCCTAAACCATGGGGTTGGAACACTGCACCCAAATTGGCCTACACAACAAAGATAAATAACCAATTTGTACAGTTATATGAGAAACAATGTTTACAAACTTATCCTAATGTAAATTATTTGTTATTGTAATATTGTACAATAAATATATACCATACTAATTTTTATGACAGTACATCTTCAAAGGCATTGAAGCAAATGGTACTTAGGAATACTCAAGTTTACATACAAAACATATAAAACTGACTGACCTTCATCATTTCATCAATATCTCCTTGAACAATGTTTGCTTCCTTCAGCTTCTCCAGCATTGCTTGGTATGACACACGATGCATCTCTACCCAAGACACTCCTGGACGCACAGCAGCCATCACAGCACGTGAGGCATTAAGAACAGCATTATAGATAGCCTTCTGATCTTCTGTGAATTTTCCATTTGCGGGGAAAGAGCAAGTGATATCACTGGTATAGCAGTAATATTCAGCACCCATGTCAAACAGACAGATGTCTCCATCACCCACCTAAAAAAGGAATTTGAACTTTTAGATTTCTTTACACTGATACTCTGTTCTACATGAAAGAAAATTGAATTTTATTTTCTCTATAAAAACAAACTGATCAAAATCAGTTTATAGTACAATAATTCTGTTTATCTGTTGCTAACGAATACTATCATCAGCTGATCTCACCCAAAAAAACTTCATTGGTATTCATTTACAAAATACTATAAATCCTTAACCTACTCATAATGGGTAACATCCAATTACAAAATGCACAGTCAATTTTTGACAGACCTTGAATAAATGTGGTGAATACTGTAGCCTAGATGTTATGCAGAAAGTCACTGTGCCAAATGGGAATATAGCAGTTCGTCAAAACTTACAAAAACATAGGTTATTATAAATGATAAGGAGTTGGCCACAAAAATGTGAGTGAGTAAGCGATGAGAAGAGGGAGGGCACAAAAGGTGGGGAAGGTAAAAGAAGGGAAATGGAAGGAGAAAGAGAACAAAATTTCAATTACTTACAGTTCTAGCATTTGGAGCACCAGCATGTCCATAGTGAAGCACAGCAGCATTACACCCAGAACCACATATGTTAGTGTAGGCCTGGTGACGACAACCACCATGGTAGTAAGAGTGGTGTTGGAAGATAGCTTCAAGTTGGTATTCTTTCATTCCAGGACGGATCTTACGCATCACAGCTCTATGGGCAGCAGCAGACACTCTGGATGCAAACCTCAGCACCTCTAGCTCAGCCTTAGTTTTAGTGACTCGACTGAAAAGCATTGAAGATAATGTTGATACTCTTGTATGATATAACCTGTAGGAAAACTATCAAATACCCAAAGGTTTATATTAACCCAATGATACCATATCCTGTATTTTTTTTTTTATTATATACTGATAATTTTGCAAGTATTAAGACATCAAGGAATACACTTTGTTATTATGGTAATCATAATAAGTAAAACAAAATGATGATAGAAACTGCTTAAACTTACTTTTTATTGTTGCTGCTCAAAAGTCTATTTTAATCAAAATTCCTTTTATAATTATATCACAGTAATTGACTAGATTGGCTATATTTGCTTATAAATGATTTCTCACTTTTTCTATTATATCAATTATGCAATACTTTTGTATTCATGACTCTAACTGACAAAAGCACCATCACACTATAAACACACAAACAGTTTCTGCCTCTGAACAAGCATGTTACACAGATGTTGCTTCTTTCATTTTGTCTTCAATGTAATTTTTCAAAAGCTCTGGGTACACACGAAGCCTATTCATCTTCTCGTAGCTTAGGCTGACCACTTTAAAGCCACACATTGCCAAATGACGCTTACGCATTGCCTGTGGTCCTACAAGGAGATCTTCGTTTAAAATGTAATGCTCTGGTGGATGAATTAGTAATGCATATTTGTTACTACTCCACTTGAAAGACTTCAGAGACAATTTTCCTGCCATGTCAATCACACAATCCACCACATACATCTCTGTACCTGGGAAGTTTGGTAAAATAGCGGAAGGGGTTATGCGCTCACTGGTTCCTACAATCTCAATGAGAGGTGCCTGGATCATATTTACGCAGCGCATAATTCTAGCATCGCGCCAAAAACTTTTGGCTGAGTGATCCCTGGGAAGCATTGGCCCACTGTAGTTTGAAGCTTCCAGACAAAGAGCCCGATCCAGAACTTTCAATTTTGTTCTTGTTAATCTCATTTCTGCTGGATCCAATGTGTGAATTCTGTCAAAAAAGTAGGGATTAAACACTTTTTTCACAAAATTTATTGGATAACGTTTTAAATAAACACATGACAGCAGTAAATCGATCATAACATTTGGAGGAAATTGGACGAATTTCTCCTCCAGAAGCATTTCGAAGGCTAGAAAGAAAGCTGAAGCATTTGGAGGCTCATAACTCAACAGACCATATGGTCGACATAGGCTGTTTACTTGAGGCACTGAGAGTTTAGATGCATTCTGCATAAAATACTCAACTCCTGTATCCAAAACCTCTGGGCTCCTAATTCGCATTTTTACACAGTAATCCATGATTACAGCAATCAAACTAGGATCATTTATGTTTGACT